TGATGTTTAGAAGATCAACACAAAAAAGTTGCGAAAACAAAAACAAAGAAGGAAAGACGCTTGAATGAAAAACAAGTCGAGTGACTTTGGAACATTTTAGCCTTTTTCAGCTTTAAGTGTTTGAATCTGATGAGTTTTAGTTTTTAAATATTTCATGTAAATAAAAATAACTTTCTAAATGGTTTTATGATGATGATGAAGGTGGAGCTAATAATGGTGGTGTGATGATGATGATGATGATTGTGATGATGATGGTGTTGATAATGATGATGATGATTATTATTATTATGGTGGAGATAATGATGATGATGATGATGGTGATGATGGTGGTGATGATGATGATGATGATGGTGGAGATAATGATGGTGGTGATGATGATGATGATGGTGATGATGGTGGTGATGATGATGATGATGGTGTTGATAATGATGGTGGTGATGATGATGATGATGGTGTTGATAATGATGGTGGTGATGATGATGATGGTGATGATGATGATGATTATTATTATGGTGGAGATAATGATGGTGATGATGATCATGATTGTGATGATGGTGGTGATGATGATGATGATGGTGTTGATAATGATGGTGGTGATGATGATGGTGATGATGATCATGATTGTGATGATGGTGGTGATGATGATGATGATGGTGTTGATAATGATGGTGGTGATGATGATGATGATGATGATGGTGGTGATGATGATGATGATGGTGTTGATAATGATGGTGGTGATGATGATGATGATGATGGTGGTGATGATGGTGTTGATAATGATGGTGGTGATGATGATGATGATGGTGTTGATAATGATGGTGGTGATGATGATGATGATGATGGTGGTGATGATGGTGATGATGATCATGATTGTGATGATGGTGGTGATGATGATGATGATGGTGTTGATAATGATGGTGGTGATGATGATGGTGATGATGATGATGATGATGGTGAAGATGGTGATGATGATGAATGTGACGATGGAGATAATGATGATGATTATTATTATGATGGAGATAATGATGGTGATGATGGTGATGATGATGAATGTGACGATGGAGATAATGATGATGATTATTATTATGATGGAGATAATGATGGTGATGATGGTGATGATGGAGATAATGATGATGATTATTATTATGGTGGAGATAATGATGGTGATGATGATTGTGGTGATGATGATGATGATGATGATGGTGTTGATAATGATGGTGGTGATGATGATGGTGATGATGATGGTGTTGATAATGATGGTGGTGATGATGATGGTGATGATGATGATGGTGAAGATGGTGATGATGATGATTGTGACGATGGAGATAATGATGGTGATGATGATGATGATGATTGTGTTGATGATGTAATGAATTAGATTACGTGTTACTTAATGAGCCATAAGGCGTAGGATTCCACAGGAAATATGAAGTCCACCTTACGGATCTGTGGGTTATTTTAAACCAGAAGGTTGGATCTTTTTATTGCAGGGATTAGATAACCGCTCCGTTTTCACTCAGAGACAACAGAAGAGAGTCAAGTTTAAAAGTTAAGAATTTTATTACTAACAAATTAAACTAGACTGACTTTAAACCAAATGTATGGTGTAACTAAGGTGGATGAGGTGGTGATTGGATGACGTGTGATGTTAATTAGAACCAGCAAATCTGAAGAAGTGATTAGTTCTGACGGGAACTGAAGGGGATGTCTTCGCTTTAAGCTTTGGTTAGGAGGTTCATAAACACATTCGACGCCATTTGCCGGTCTACCTACCCTGGTGGAAGTCCCCATTAGATCAGGAATATCGATGCAATGATGATAATGATGGTGGAGATAATGATGGTGTTGACGATGGTGATGATGGTGGTGGCGATGATGATGGTGGAGATAATGATGGTGTTGACGATGGTGATGATGATGATGGTGGTGATGGTGATGATGATTATGGTGGTGGCGATGATGATGGAGATGATGATGATTATGATTATGGCGATGGTGATGATGATTATGGTGATGATGATGATTATGATGATGATGATGGTGTTGATGATGATGGTGGAGATAATGATGGTGGTGATGATGATGGTGTTGATGATGATGGTGGAGATAATGATGGTGGTGATGATGATGGTGTTGTTGATGATGGTGGAGATAATGATGGTGATGATGATGATGAGGATTATGATGATGATGATGGTGTTGATGATGATGGTGGAGATAATGATGGTGGTGATGATGATGATTATGTTGATGATGATTATGATGATGATGATGGTGTTGATGATGATGGAGATAATGATGGAGATGATTATTATTACGGTGGCGATGATGATGATGATGATGGTGAGGATTATAATGAAGACCATAATGATGGTGGTGATGATGATGGTGTTGATGATGATGGTGGAGATAATGATGGTGGTGATGATGATGATGATGATTATGATGATGATGGTGGAGATAATGATGGTGGTGATGATGATGATGATGATTATGATGATGATGATGGTGTTGATGATGATGGTGGAGATAATGATGGTGGTGATGATGATGATTATGTTGATGATGATTATGATGATGATGATGGTGTTGATGATGATGGAGATAATGATGGAGATGATTATTATTACGGTGGCGATGATGATGATGATGATGATGGTGATTATGATGATGATGATGGTGTTGATGATGATGGAGATAATGATGGAGATGATTATTATTACGGTGGTGATGATGATGATTATGTTGATGATGATTATGATGATGATGATGGTGTTGATGATGATGGAGATAATGATGGAGATGATTATTATTACGGTGGTGATGATGATGATGATGATTATGATGATGATGATGGTGTTGATGATGATGGTGGAGATAATGATGGTGGTGATGATGATGATTATGTTGATGATGATTATGATGATGATGATGGTGTTGATGATGGTGGAGATAATGATGGAGATGATTATTATTACGGTGGCGATGATGATGATGATGATGATGGTGAGGATTATAATGAAGACCATAATGATGGTGGTGATGATGATGGTGTTGATGATGATGGTGGAGATAATGATGGTGGTGATGATGATGATGATGATTATGATGATGATGATGGTGTTGATGATGATGGTGGAGATAATGATGGTGGTGATGATGATGATGATGATTATGATGATGATGATGGTGTTGATGATGATGGTGGAGATAATGATGGTGGTGATGATGATGGTGTTGATGATGATGGTGGAGATAATGATGGTGGTGATGATGATGATGATGATGATTATGATGATGATGATGGTGTTGATGATGGTGGAGATAATGATGGAGATGATGATGGTGGTGTTGATGATGATGGTGGAGATAATGATGGTGGTGATGATGATGGTGTTGGTGATGATGGTGGAGATAATGATGGTGGTGATGATGATGGTGTTGATGATGATGGTGGAGATAATGATGGTGGTGATGATGATGATGATGATGATTATGATGATGATGATGGTGTTGATGATGATGGTGGAGATAATGATGGTGGTGATGATGATGATGATGATTATGATGATGATGGTGTTGATGATGGTGGAGATAATGATGGTGGTGATGATGATGATGATGATGATTATGATGATGATGGTGTTGATGATGGTGGAGATAATGATGGTGTTGATGATGATGGTGGAGATAATGATGATGATGATGATGATGGTGGTGATGATGGTGGTGGAGATGATGGTGGTGATGATGATGGTGGTGGTGATGATGATGATGATGATGATGATGATGATTATGATGATGATGATGGTGGTGATGATGATGGTGGAGATGATGGTGGTGATGATGATGATTATGATGATGATGATGATGGTGTTGATGATGGTGGAGATAATGATGGAGATGATTATTATTACGGTGGTGATGATGATGATGATGATGGTGAGGATTATAATGAAGACAATAATGATGATGATGATGGTGGAGATAATGATGGTGTTGATGATGATGATTATTATTATGGTGATGATGATGATGATGGTGAGGATTATAATGAAGACAATAATGATGATGATGGTGTTGATGATGGTGGAGATAATGATGGAGATGATTATTATTACGGTGGTGATGATGATGGTGGTGAGGATTATAATGAAGACAATAATGATGATGATGCTTTTTTGTGGCATTTTTTTAACAAATGAGGTTTTAACAATAACTCGACCAGATTTGATTTTTCAGCAGTTAGACCGAGCCGATTTGGACTGAACTGACGTCTCTTATGGTCTCTCCATGGTTCCGTATTTCTTGCTGTGACTTTGCACCTTTTCCAGAAAGTGTTTGACAGGAAACGTTCTGAATATTCTTCCTGTTGTTCTTCTGAAGCTTTGACAAACTGAAAAGACTTCCTGTTGGTTGTTTGTGTTTGTGAGTCTGGCTTGTGTTCATGTTTGCTTGTTGCAAGTTGAAACTAGAACAAGATAAAAACATGTTCATGTAAATATAACTTATTGTCCAGTGGCCCACTGGTCATGTGACCACGTGGAGGCCACGCGGAGACTCTGAGATGTTTAATAACCTGTTTGTCTCCCTGGAGGGTTAACGTAGCTTTCTGAGGGAAAGTGTTATCATCGATGCCAGGATGCAGGTTACTTCCTGCTCTCACATTCAAACCCAAATCAGAAACATGGGAAGCCCGTTTTTTCTTTTCTTTCTTTGGTTTCCCTGAGTCTGACTCGGAATGGACCTCTGGTTCTGGTTCAGACTTCAGAATGATATGATTCAAGTTTTCATCCTTGGATGCAGGCATGGATGAAGGTTCTGATCCAAGCCTGCACCAGCTCAGGTCCAAAAGTTTGGGCTTGGTGCTGCTGATACTAGTCGGGATGCTCCTTTGGGCACCAGCACAGTCCATCTGACCTGTCCGTAGTGGTTCTGGTCCATCTTGGATAGAGTCCAGCTGACAATGCCTCAGAACCAGGTTAGCGACCTGCTCCCAGGTTCTTTATACACAGAACATCCTCCAGGTTCCTGATGTTTAGCCGGAGGAACCTGAAAATCCCTTCAGTCTGCATCTAGATCCTGGCTCTGGATCGAATCAGCCGTCTGACGCCATCTGAACCGGTTAACAGATATACGCCATGTTTGAGCTCCAGGACCTGAAGGATGGAACCAAAAATTAAAAGTTCTAAAAAGTCAAAGAAAGAAGCAGAAATAATTTATTTATTGTAAATTCTTGGAGCTGATTTGGGTTTTACTGTGTCGTAAGGATATGCAGAAGGATTTATCAAAGTATTTGATTAGTCGGATCAGTGACGGCGATCGGGAAGTTGCCGTGACAACACGATGTCAGTACTTCACACAACACGAGGAAGATTTTTGTTGGTCAGAGTCAAACATGTGTTTCCTGAAGACCAATAAGCAATCTGCACGCTTAATAAAGACCGGTGATCCGACTGAGTTGCTTTTGTTTGAATCTGATTGATCAGCTCATTATTGATGAACTCAGGTGAAATTATTAAAGTGACAGTGTGTAGTTTCCCTGGCGATGGGGGCAGTACATACCTGAATCATTGCATGCAAGCATTATATTAGTTTAAATAAGACCTTACCAACGGATGGCCATTAGGGTCAAACATCCCCGGGTTTGCAACCTCCAGCTAAACGACGAGCACATCAGATTGCCTTCCATCACTGGCAACGAGTGTAGAGGTTAATGTGTAAAACAACAATGCTTACTATTGGTAAAAGTTTTGTAACCATTTGTTACACATCAGTAAAAGTGTTTTGTCCTCACGGGCTCCCGTAGAAGAAAACAAGGCATCCAATATGGCGTCGCCCTGAGACTTAGGTGTTTCTCAATGCCAAGGAACCTTGCTATGATGTCTTGGCCCCGCCCCGGTTGCCTAGGAGATACGTAATCAGGAACCACCGAGACGTGTTCCAATGGTCATGTTCTTCCGAGGCATGTGTTCTCCGTTTGTTAGCCATTTAGCTAGCTGAGTGAGGATACACGGGAGGTGTCTTGTAGCCTAGCCTTGGGCAAAAATTACCCAGAATACACCGCGGTATTTTCAAAAAGACGGCGGATCAGAAGCCGGCAGCTACTTCGGGGACAATTTTCAAATTTAAAAGTAAGTCAACTAATTAAAAATGTTTTTTTTAGATCCAAAGAAGTTATCCATGGTTTGTTAGTTGCTTAGTAGTTGCAGCTTCAGTGGCTAGCGGGTAGTAACTCACTTTCATATTTAATTTTATAAACATATACACAATTTAAAAAGTAAAAGGCTTGTTATATATTTATATTGAAACTAGTACGTATAAAATATAACATTATCTCCCGTGTCACGTGACCGCCGTGGAAGCCGCTCCCATGTATTTTAGACCAGATTTTTATGGCTACATGTAATGAAACTGCCAATATTTTTCAACAGCTGGGCGTCTTTTAATTTTGTTTAATGGTAAAAACTACACATTGTCAATTTAATAAACACCAAAAAATAGCATTCTCTCATCAACCTGGAGTCTGATCTGTTACGGTGTGTTTTAGTTTTCACTCTACATGAAGAATTTGGACTTTGATTCACTAACAGCTTCTTTTTAAAACCTATGACTTGGTAATAACTCACGGCCGACAGTCATAATACACACAGGTAAACTCCACACGGTTCATATCCCATGTTTGTTTGTTTATACCAAGCCCCCACAATGCGGGACAGAAATTGAGTCCAATTCGGAAATGAAATAAATTGCAGTTCCACCCTCATCCACTAGGGGCTGGTGTCAGAAGCGAGCAAATCCTCATTGACTCCCATGTTAAAAATACCAATTTCACAGCAGAAATAAACATGTTTACAGCCTGGTACCAAAACATGTTTTTGGTTTAAATGATCTAGTTTACACTCATGACAACTCTGAGGGGGGTGAATGTTTTTCTCACTCTTCTGTTTAAGTGTATTAAAAGCCTAAAATTCTGTATAATTAATGAGCATCAGACCCACGTGACCACAGAGCTAGCTCCAGGGAAAGACCTCAGTAGAGCCTCGGTCTGGCTTGGAAACTGTTCCGGGATTTTGAGTCTCTGTGTGTGTGTGTTCTTTTTTGGATATTTTTGTGCAATTGTTGGACAAAATGACTTGCTGTGGCATTAATTGCACTAATAGAGCGTCCAAGGAGTCTCCACTTCATTTTTTTCGGTAAGTAAAATTATATCTATGTATTTTAGGTCACTGCCGAGCTGAGCTTAGATTTTAACATGTACTGTTTAACCATGACATTTAAATGTAATAGGGTAAAACCCAGTGCATTTAACATAATGCTGCACTTTAGAAAATGGGTTGAAATATAACATGTTGGAGGAGCTGGGTTCCGACTATCGGCTTGTGGAGGTCTCGGAGACCTCTGTGTTCTACCCGGTTTTACCCAGCGGTCAGCCCGGCGTATCTCTGACTCAGAAGCTCTGGTGTTGTGCACAGTTAACTCCGATTGTAGCTAGGTTGCTACCTCCGTTAGCTTAGCTACCACCTCCGCGTTAGCTTTGGGTTAGCTTGTAGCTAGTTTGACCGGGTGTCGTCATTTGATCTCAGCCTTTCAGCCCCACCCTCAGCTCCACCTCTCTTCCCTTTTGTGGAAGTGTCTGGGCTTGACGGAACCTGTGACACGGTCAAAATGGCGGTGGTGGCCACCTCCCATTTTTCCTTCAAAAACGTGTTATTGGAGGCTATGGAAACCCATTGTCCATATATGTATATGTCGATGGTTTTTACTTGTTTTAGAACCAGTAGAAGCTGTGATCTGCTGACAGGATTAAAGAAAAAGCTACAGGTTTGCGTCTCTATTATTATGATTATGGGATTAAACCAGCTGGTGGAAAAGCTTTTATGTGAAACGTTTCTAGACATAACCTCTCTCCTATTATTAGATCAAATATATTCTCCAGTAGTATTTTCATTTTTTCTGATGCAATAAACAACCCATAGTTCTAAGAGGGAGCACTGTCTTCTGGCCTCTGATTGGTCAGGGTTGTCTTTCTCACCTCAGCTGATCAGAAGGCTGATGTCACCTGGAAATCCCCAACACACACATGCACACACACACACATACACAATAACAAACAAGATGGCAGGTACAGGCACTACCATTGGCTGGTGAAACAGAAAGCTGCAGCTCATTGGTCAGCAGGATTAAACACGCCTCCGGGTTTTATAGATATACAACTAGTAGAAGAGATCTACATGTTTGAATAAAAACTTTTTTGTCACATAAACTAAGTTGTAGCAAAAGATCATTTTAAAAATGAAACATATAACATTTACATCTTTAACATAAAATAATAAGTGTTCAATCAAAATATGTGAAAAGTATTAGTTTATTTTTATTTACTTGTCATGTTCAGATGTTGCACAGTGGTGCAGAGATTAGCGCTGTTGCCTTGCAGCAAGAAGGTCCTGGGTTCACATCCCAGCCTGGGGTCTTTCTGCATGGAGTTTCCATGTTCTCCCTGTGCATGTGTGGGTTCTCTCCGGGTACTCCGGCTTCCTCCTTCAGTCCAAAAACATGACTGTTAGGTTGATTGGTCTGTCTAAATTATCCTTAGGTGTGTGTGTGTGTGTGGTTGGTTGTCCTGGGTGTATCCATGTTGCCGTGTGATGGACTGCCAACCTGTCCAGGGTGTACCCCGCATGTTTGCCCATTGACTGCTGGAGATAAGCACCAGCCCCCCATGACCCTACATGGACAAGTGGGTTCAGGTAATGGATGGATGTTATGTTCAGACATTTGTCCATGTTTAACTTCAGAGCCCTGACATTTTGGAGGTTTTCGTGATTGTCTCGGCTGTGGCCTTTCTGCCTGGAGTTAGTTCTCCCAATGCATGTATAGATTTAGCATTAGCATGTTCTCCAATGCATGTATAGAGTTAGCATTAACATGTTCTCCCAATGCATGTATAGAGTTAGCATTAGCATGATCTCCCCATGCATGTATAGAGTTAGCATTAATATGTTCTCCCAATGCATATATAGAGTTAGCATTAGCATGTTCTCCCCAATGCATGTATAGAGTTAGCATTAGCATGTTCTCCCAATGCATGTATAGAGTTAGCATTAGCTTGTTCTCCACATGCATGTATAGAGTTAGCATTAGCATGTTCTCCCCATGCATGTATAGAGTTAGCATTAGCTTGTTCTCCCAATGCATGTATAGAGTTAGCATTAGCTTGTTCTCCCCATGCATGTATAGAGTTAGCATTAACATGTTCTCCCAATGTATATATAGAGTTAGCATTAGCTTGTTCTCCCCATGCATGTATAGAGTTAGCATTAGCATGTTCTCCCCAATGCATGTAAAGAGTTACCATTAACATGTTCTCCCAATGCATGTATAGAGTTAGCATTAGCATGTTCTCCCCATGCATGTAGAGTTAGCATTAACATGTTCTCACAATGCATGTATAGAGTTAGCATTAGCTTGTTCTCCCCAATGCATGTATAGAGTTAGCATTAACATGTTCTCCCAATGCATGTATAGAGTTAGCATTAGCTTGTTCTCCCCATGCATGTATAGAGTTAGCATTACCATGTTCTCCCCAATGAATGTATAGAGTTAGCATTAACATGTTCTCCCAATGCATGTATAGAGTTAGCATTAGCTTGTTCTCCCCATGCATGTATAGAGTTAGCATTAGCATGTTCTCCCCAATGCATGTATAGAGTTAGCATTAACATGTTCTCCCAATGCATGTATAGTTAGCATTAGCTTGTTCTCCCTATGCATGTATAGAGTTAGCATTAGCATGTTCTCCCCAATGCATGTATAGAGTTAGCATTAACATGTTCTCCCAATGCATGTATAGTTAGCATTAGCTTGTTCTCCCTATGCATGTATAGTTAGCACTAGCATGTTCTCCCCATGCATGTATAGAGTTAGCATTAGCTTGTTCTCCCAATGCATGTATAGAGTTAGCATTAGCTTGTTCTCCCTATGCATGTATAGTTAGCATTAGCATGCTCTCCCAATGAATGTATAGAGTTAGCATTAACATGTTCTCCCAAAGCATGTGTAGAGTTAGCATTAGCACGTTCTCCCCATGCATGTATAGAGTTAGCATTAGCTTGTTCTCCCTATGCATGTATAGTTAGCATTAGCATGCTCTCCCAATGAATGTATAGAGTTAGCATTAACATGTTCTCCCAAAGCATGTGTAGAGTTAGCATTAGCATGTTCTCCCAATGCATGTATAGAGTTAGCATTAGCTTGTTCTCCAAGGCATGTATAGAGTTAGCATGTTCTCCCATATCTGTAGAGTTAGCGTTAACGTGTTCTCCAGATGCATGTATAGTAGGCATGTGCGGAGTATGTGTTCTCTGTGTGCATACGTGGGATTCCTTCTACGGATCAAAAACTTGCTTATCAAGTTAGTATCGGATTTTTCCTTCTGTTGCCATGAAGCTGTTTCATGGCAACAGAAGGAAAAATGGCAGCGTTGCAGTGATTTCTCAGACATGTCATCAGCACTTCATCCCTCTACCAACTCATTCACACCACTTCTGTTGTGATCAAATCTATTTCTATGTAATAAAACAACAAATTAGCTGATTTCTTTTCAACCTGGAGGTTAAAGAACCTCATGTATAACAGGATCTCAGCCGTCTGGGTGTGATCTTTGTCATGTATTTCTATGCTCGAAGCTCTCTCTCTCGCGCGTGTGTGTGTGTGTGTGTGTGTGTGTGTGTGTGTGTGTGTGTGTGTGTGTGTGTGTGTGTGTGTGTGTGTGTGTGTGTGTGTGTGTGTGTGTGTGTGTGTGTGTGTTCCAGCGGACCTCCTCCTCTCAGCCCTTTTATCTTCCCCAGATTTCATCCTCCTCCCCCGCGCGCCACCCTCGGTACCGCGGTGACTCCTGGGACACGTTCCGCTTCTTTTCTCGCCTCTCAGCAGAAATGTCAACTTCGAGCTCAGACGGAGTCCGGCAGAACCTGAGCGGAACCGAGCCGGACCAGCGGGAGGCCGCGGTTCTGCAACCGCACACCGTGTTTGTGATCCTGGACTCGAGCGAGACTCTCAACTATGTTCAGTAAGTCCGGAAGTTCCGACGTACAGTTATCTGCGCTTCCGCCGAACTCCGTTCAAAAATCGGAGTGTTTTGATCAAACGACCCTGACGTCAGCAGGCAGTTCTGGAGCGCCGTTCGGGAAGGATTACGGTGTGGTTCTGGTACCGAAACGAACCTCGGTTCTGAAGAAGAAAGTCCACTCTTCACTTTTAGCTTTGAACGTCATTCAAGCTTCAGAGTCACTTGAGAGGGAAATGAGGTATTTACTGAATGGAGTTTGGTTTGATGTGGAAAAAGCTGACACCTTTAAATATGGCATGTCAGTTCGATGGGTAGGTTGTTTCTGTGTGACCTTTGACCCCAGAGAGCTCCTCCCAGGAGGAGGACTAGACAGGTCTAAACCTCCTGCTCTGCTCAGGCTCAAACCCAGATCAGGTTCTGTTGTTGTGAGATTCTGGTGATCCGATTTAATGACTGTTTAGTTTCTGCCTAGTTTTTAGTTGTGAGAACTCTTTGGTTCCCAGACCTGATCCTAGACCTGATCCCAGATCAGTTCCCACATCAGTTTCCAGACCCGTTCTGGTAACTGTTTAGTGTTTTTGTTGAAGCTCAGCTGCTGATGAACTTGGTATTTTATTTTTGGCCCTCCATGTTCTTCTTTGGTGTCTGATATGAGAGTTTGAAACCAGTCTCAGTCACTGGTTCCCGTTCTCTGACCTCAGAGGTCCACAGACCTTCTCCTGGAACCAGAGCAGTCTGCTGTTGCATCTGGCTCCTGATTGGTTGGCAGTGTTAAAAGTTTTCTGCCACAAACCTTTATTATCAAATCCAAATACGTAGAAAGGTCTGATCTGGAGGAAAGTGATGGAGCTTCGTGGTTCACATCCAGGTTGGGTCCAGATCCAATCACACCAAACCAAATGTGTTTATATGGCACATTTAAAACAGCATGGGAGCTGACCAAAGCGCCTCCAACATAAAAACAGATAAAATAAAAGCAAATCAAAACAGCAAAAAAGGAAAGAAAAAAATCACAATCTAAACGCCTAGTCATACAGGTGAGTCTTCAGGTGTGACGAAGACACCAGTGGATGGTGAGCGGTGCTGCACTCCAGAGCGTGGGAGCTACATACATGGAAGCGCGTTGTCGGGGTGCAGAGCAGCAGCTGGTCAGCTGAACCTAGCGAGCGCACTGACATAGGGCGCAAGTAGGACCGATGGGTAGGTCGGTGCCAGATCAGAACGGGTTCCTAAAGCCAGAACCTTGTTTAGCAGACACCCACTCAGGAGGAGGAACACTTTCTGACACAACACCGGTCTCTGTTGGGGTTCTAATGTAGGGTCTGTCTGTCTCAGGGTGGAGTCGGGAATCGTTGCTGACATTGATGTTGACGGTTTGATTCCCTCTGAGGGCAACACTTTCTACGAGATTAAGAGTCAGCCAATCACCACCAGGTAAGACCTCCACCTGGCAGCTCATCCTGATCAGTTGTGATGATGTCATTCATGACCTCATCATATCCTTTCTGCAGCTTGTCAGCAGCATCCTGCTCGTCTCCATCCTCCTCCTTTGCATCAGTCATGCCCTCCAGGTAAATAACCACAACTCTTCTTCTACTGTTTTAATGCTTGCATCGTGCAGGGCACACACTCACCCCCCCCCCCCCCACCCCCCCACCCCCTCCCTGCAGGATCCTATTGAGACAAGATCTGATGCGTCAGCAGGCTCTGGAGGAGGAACAGAAGGAGGCGCAGCAGCAGCAGCTGTGCTCCTCTGACTCCTCCTCACCCATCAGCGTGTCCGTGTCCTCCTGCAGACCTGCTCAGGTCCCCGTGGAGGTTCTGAAGGTATGCTGGGTAGACTCCAGCTTCTGGTTCTGAAACAGCTGCTCGTGTCATTTCTGCTTTTCCCACTTTGAGAATGTCGACATTAAGGATCTGATCTACGAGAACGTCCTGTCCAGGTGTCAGCAGCTCCATCAGGGGGACAGTGACCCAGAAGCTCTGGAATGCTCGTTCAAACAACAACGCACCATGATGCATTCTGGGAGCGCTGAACTCTTATTGTTTCCATCTAATGATTTAATGGCGTTCTAAAACGGGATTTTAGAGGATTGTTTGACCTGCAGTGACTAAAATCCTCCCTTATGTTTCTGACAGGTGCAGACTCACCTGGAGAACCCCACCAGGTACCACATTCAGCAGGCGCAGAGGCAGCAGGTCCACCAGTACTTATCCAACACTAAGACAGCCAATCAGCAGCCAGCTGTGTTGGGCTCCACCTCCAGACGGCCAAGAGAAGGCAGCCCAAAAGAAGAGGTGAGGAACATAAACATGTAAACAAACCGATTCATGACAGCAAATCCCAGTTCAGGTTTCCTAGCGCTGCCGGGTCACACGAGGCCCAAACGGCTCCTACCGCTGAGTCCTGATAGAAGAAATCTGCAGAGCTCTTCCTGTGAGGTCTGTTTGCTGAGTCGGCTTTTCCACCGGATCTGAGTCAGTTCCCAATCCAGCCGAGCACCCCCCCCCCCCCCCATCTCCAGTCAGCTGTTTGTAGAATAAGGAGCTCCTGCAGAATGAGACCGTCTCTGATTCAGATAGAAAGTTCGGACCAAACCCAAACACGTCGTTAACCAGCTGTTTTGTGTTTTATCCACAAAAACAAAAACATTCAGATGAAAGAAACTGTTATTGATGATGTCATCAGCCTGGACTCCAGCTTCAGCGAGGAGTTTCTCACGCTGATTGATTCTGGCCTACAACTCACAAGCATGGTAACACACACACACACACACACACACACACACACACACACACACACACACACACACACACACACACACACACACACACACACACACACAAAGTGTTCTGGGTGTGTGTTTGAGTGTTTCTCAGTCTGCTCTCTCATTGGTCCGTTATAGATGCCACTTTCGGGGAACGTGCTGGATGTGTGTGGGGGGGTGGACACGCCCACTGTTGCCATTAGCAACAGCTGCCCGGCTGACCTGTGCAGTGTGAAGACCGAGCAGAGCGGTAAGGAGTCCCATGACACCTGACCTCTGACGTTTGAGGCAAGTGAGACTACTTCAGCCAATCACGTGAGGCTTTAAGGTGCTTTGATCCAGTCAGATCATCTGATTGGCTGAAGCTGGGACAGGTAGGCTGAGCAGCTTAGATCTCTCATCTATGTCAAAGGCTCAGGTATCTAAATACCCAAGATGGGCGGAGCTAAATGTAATCTGGACCCAGTCATCCAGCTAAGGTTTACCTGCTGAAGGAAGAATCACCTGACCTGAGGTGTTTGTGTTTCAGATGTGGAGAGCAAAGCTCTGCTGAAGGACCGGCAGAAGAAGGACAACCACAACCAGAGTGAGTTCTGAAACATCACAACACTGATTCTGGAGTTTTGGCCGGACCATGTCCCACTGGGCTAACCCCGACCCGACATCTGTTGATCTTTTTATTTATCATATCGCTTTATGACAGTCAAACAACCACAGAGGCAAGCAGATTGATGAAAACTAAATATTTTTGAGAGAAGAAGAAAAATGTGTTTGTAAATGTTTCTGAAGAATTTCCTGTTAGAATCGAGTTTATTCCACAAAATAAATATAAAATAAAATAAACCACAAAGTAAAAAGATCCACACTGTTGGACAAAAATATGTTCTTGTGGTTTCATTGACGGTCGGCGAGCTGAAAAAGCTAACCGCTAGCCTTTATATTTGCTACCCGCAGGGTAAGCCGCTAACATCCCCGCTCCACAGAACAAGGTGGTAACTTTTCCACCTTCACAATCTGCCAACACGATACTGGGCCAGAGTTTTCCTGAGAGATGAGACCTTATTTAATAGTCTTTTTATAATTACATTTAAAAAAGTGTCTGTTAAAGCCTGTTTGGGCCAAATTGTCAAGATTCAGTAAGTTCAAAATGTCCTGCAGGATCATTTTGACCCTTTTCTGGGAAAGATGACAATCCAGCTGAGAGATGTCCTGGTTCTGAGAGCAGCTCAGGCTCCAATCAAAGACCTGACGTCTGATGCCACAGTTCCATTAGCACCAACCCAGCACAGCTTATTTGATTCAACTCAATCCCAGTCAGTTCGGGTAGTGTTCCATTACGGTGGTCATGGTGGTCATTCTGCTCAGTCAGTGGCTGTTTGTCAGAGTCTGAACCCGGAAACAGCTGTGAGCAGCGAGGTTGCAGGCATAAATCCCTGGTGCAACCAGTGACTCTACCCCATAGCCAATCAGTGACGATAAGTCGTTGACGTCATGTTTTCTGTCTGGCTCGGTAACTTTGGAACCAAATCAACCAACCAACTCAAACTGATCTGAATCCTGCTGAATAGGTTCTAATGGAATCGTGGCTTAAATGAGCTTCAGCTTGCTGTTTCAGTGAAACATTAAACGTGATGTTGATGTGTTTCAGTTGAGAGAAGGCGTCGCTTCAACATCAATGATCGCATCAAGGAACTTGAAGGGCTGATCCCCAAATCCTTCGACCTGTGAGTCGTCGCACACAGCTCTGAGCAGCAAACGCTAACAAACATAGCTAACACTGGTAACAATAGAAAACAACCTAGCTAATGCTGATAAACCATCACTATTAATAATACAGCTAGCAGTATAGCTAACGCTTCAAACAACGGAGCTAGAGCAACATAGCTAAAAACCTAGCTAATGCTGCTAACACCAAAGCTAATGCTGCCAACACCAAAGCTGATGCTGCTAACACCAAAGCTAATGCTGCTAACACCAAAGCTAATGCTGCCAACAGCAAAACTAATGCTGCCAACACCAAAGCTGATGCTGCTAACACCAAAGCTAATGCTGCTAACACCAAAGCTAATGCTGCTAACACCAAAGCTAATGCTGCCAACACCAAAGCTAATGCTGCTAACACCAAAGCTAATGCATCAAAGCTAATGCTGCCAACACCAAAGCTGATGCTGCTAACACCAAAGCTAATGCTGCTAACACCTAAGCTAATGCTGCTAACATCAAAGCTAATGCTGTCAGTACCAAAGCTGATGCTGCTAACACCAAAGCTAATGCTGCCAACACCAAAGCTGATGCTGCTAACACCAAAGCTAATGCTGCTAACACCAAAGCTAATGCTGCCAACAGCAAAACTAATGCTGCCAACACCAAAGCTGATGCTGCTAACACCAAAGCTAATGCTGCCAACACCAAAGCTAATGCTGCCAACACCAAAGCTAATGCTGCCAACACCAAAGCTAATGCTGCTAACACCAAAGCTAATGCATCAAAGCTAATGCTGCCAACACCAAAGCTAATGCTGCTAACACCAAAGCTAATGCTGCCAACACCAAAGCTGATGCTGCTAACACCAAAGCTAATGCTGCTAACACCTAAGCTAATGCTGCTAACATCAAAGCTAATGCTGTCAGTACCAAAGCTGATGCTGCTAACACCAAAGCTGATGCTGCCAACACCAAAGCTGATGCTGCCAACACCAAAGCTAATGCTGCTAACATCAAAGCTAATGCTGTCAATACCAAAGCTGATGCTGCTAACACCAAAGTTAATGCTGCTAACATCAAAGCTAATGCTGTGAATACCAAAGCTGATGCTGCTAACACCAAAGCTAATGCTGCTAACATCAAAGCTAATGCTGCTAACACTAAAGCTAATGGATCAAAACTAATGCTGCCAACACCAAAGCTAATGCTGCTAACACCAAAGCTAATGCATCAAAACTAATGCTGCCAACACCAAAGCTAATGCTGCTAACACTAAAGCTAATGCATCAAAACTAATGCTGCCAACACCAAAGCTAATGCTGCCAACACCAAAGCTAATGCTGCTAACACCAAAGCTAATGCTGCCAACACCAAAGCTAATGCTGCTAACACCAAAGCTAATGCTGCTAACACTAAAGCTAATGCATCAAAGCTAATGCTGCCAACACCAAAGCTAATGCTGCTAACACCAAAGCTAAGCTAATGCTGCTTACTCTCCTTCACCATCAGACACAAACTGCAGCAACATGTTTTTTGAACCACATGGAGATAATCTGTTTCAGTGTGTGTTAATGAGGTGCTCTGTGATTGGTCAATCAGGGAGACCAGGTGGAACAAAGGAACCATCCTGAAGGCTTCTGTGGACTACATCCGCAAACTGCAGAGAGATCAGCAGAGAGCACAAGAGATGGAGGAGAGGCAGAAGATACTAGAGAGCACCAACCGCTTGTTGATGCAGCGCATACAGGTGAGGGGGTGGGGCCTAATTGAACAGCAGACTGGTCTAACAGGTGAGGGGTGGGGCTTGTATCATGTGTCCTGCTGATGGGTGTGAAAGTTTTTGTGTTTATGTTTTTGGTGCAGGAGTTGGAGCTCCAGGCTCGCCTCTTCCCTTCATCCGTTTCCTCCCCTCCCCCTGCATCCTCCTCCTCCTCTCTTGATCCACACACTCTGCTCTCTCTGCCTCCGCCTCACCCGTCTCTGAGCTTCATGGACCTGGATGAGCCCCAGGCAGCGTCCACTGTCTTTTCTCCAGACCTGATGGACCTGACGGAGCTGCGGGGCCTGGGGGGGCTTCTGATGGAGGAGGATGGAGAAGACCCACTGCTGTCCTGCGGAACCTCAAAGACCAGCAGCTTCAGCGTGGACGAAGACCTCTGATGACATCTTCACAGACTGGGTTCTTGTTGGCTGGAGCGGGCAGCTGAGTCATCTGGGAGACTGAATGAAACCAACTATTATCTGTGACACGATGCAAACATGTGTAACCATGGTAACCAGCGTGCTACTGGTTAAACACCTACAAAGGAATCCCAGAAGCTGACCTCACCTGTTAAACAGGTGAGACATACTGTATGGTCAGTGTGATCTGATCTGATCCAGATTAGGACTTGGGGCACCATTTCCTCAAGTTTCCTGCTGGAGGCAAAACAGAAGGGCAACTACAGTAAAACAGGCCTTTGTTATCAAGATCTCCAGCAGGAAGCGGTGTATTTAGACCAGAGACACCTGTAATCCCACTTCCTGCCCATAAATCTTTACCTGATTCTGACTGAACTCAGATGATTTCACCCAACGGGACCGACCATTTGTTACCCATAAGCATCTGGGAGGTTGTCATAGTAACTGTTCGAAACATGACCTCCTGTCTTTGGTCTTTGGTTCTGATGGAGCTTCGTGAACTTGCAGATGTTATGATTTTGTTCAGAACGATGTAGCAGCAGCCTGGTTTATGCAGGTAGCCTGGTCATCAGGGAACATGATCCCAGGGCGTGGGCGATACGGACCAAAACTTAGCTATATTCTCACATACACTGCCTGGATGTTGCCTCCTGGATTTACCTGAACAAGCAGGTAGGAGCCTCCTATTTGATAATTACTGCACGGGCGCTTATCTTTCAGCTGTCACAAGTTATTCAACCCAACTGGTGCAATGAGCAGCTTCTCATTTCTTAAACAAGCATGTGAAAAGACACATCTGGTGGTCGTGGAGAAGATGTTAGTCTGTGTGAGAAGGATCAGATCTTTGGCATCAAGCAGAGAAAACATCTAAGGAGATGCAGAAACGACTAAAACTGGGTTCAGAACTGTCCAACATTATTAAAACTGGTCTGATGAGTCCAGATGGACCCTGTTCCACAGTGATGGTGCATCAGGGTTAGAAGAGAGGCAGATGAAGGGATCCACCCATCATGCCTAGTGCCTACTGTACAAGCCTGTGGTGGCAGTGCTATGATCTGGGTTTGCTGCAGGTGGCCAGGTCTAGGTTCAGCAACAGGAAACAAATGTATGTTACGCTGATTTGATGACGTAAATGAATCTGCCACACGGACCATTACTCGCGAGGGTCGCTCAGCGTGTGAATGAGGAGCTGTGAAAGTTGTGGAAGCAAACATGGCTGACGTCTCAGGGTTCGCTCCTATCGGTGAGTAGAGAGAGCCATGGATGTTTCCGGGGGAGAAATGCCACCGCGTTTTGTTCAAACCCATTAGTAGTCGTCGCTGTTTCCTTTGGGAACTAGCTCGTCTGACTCATTCCGCCGCTCATCTGAAACTCCTGTTCACGTGCTTTACCTTTCTCGTGAGCGTGCACGCTCGACGCAGCATTCCAGGTGAAACATTTTCAGGTTGGAGGGGGGTAGTGATACATCTGCACTGGTGGGAATAACTTAACAGCTTAAATTTGTTGTGACAGATTATAGTTGATGTTTAGGATAGAGCAGCCGAGAAACCATGGAGTACATCGCCCACCCCCGCCTGGTCATCAGGTACCAGGGTCTACCTGCTTTCTGCTGCCATCAAGGGAACTAGTCCTTTCTATGTTTGTTCACAAACAGAAAATTTGTAGATCTTTCTAAAACTGTAATTTTTTATTAAAAATAAACAAGGAACACTGTTAGATTTTATATGTGAGTCAACGTCTGATCCGTTTCCATGGCAACGCCTCCCCCCCTCCCCCTTGTTTGTTTACTTTGTTCCATGAGTGGGGAATTTAGGTGTGACAGCAGCAAAGTGGATTCACAAGGATCGAGAATAAAGATGTCCTGGAGGAAGAATATTTATGTAAGAAAAATGGAAAAGGTTGAAATGAATTTACCACATTTTGCAATAAAACTGAGTTAGACTTGTGTAATATTTACAGGAAGTAGAGAATGTGAATGGAAAACTGGAAACAAATGACTGAATAAGAATAGAAGTGAGACTCTTCTCTCAGGAAGTGGACAGGAAACCGGAAATCAGCTGATTTCACGTTTTGATCAGACAGACCACTAGGTGGCGCCATCCTCCCAAACAGCAAGTGTAGCTGAGGAGTCTCTCTCTTCTCTCCTCTCTCTCTCTCTCCTCTCTCTCTCTCTCTCTCTCTCCTCTCTCTCTCTCTCTCTCTCTCTCTCTCCTCTCTCTCTCTCTGTCTCTCTGTCTCTCTGTCTCTCTCTCTCTCTCTCTCTCTCCTCTCTCTCTCTCTCTCTCTCTCTCTCTCTCTCTCTCTCTCTCTCTCTCTCTCTCTCTCTCTCTCTCTCTCTCTCTCTCTCTCTCTCTGTGTGTCTCAGTGGCTTCCCGTTTGGGATGTCCAGGCTCCATGCTTCCACAAACACACACTTCCTGTCCCCCCCCCTCCCCATGATCAATCTGTCTGGACACTGAGCAGTGGACAAGTGGTCTGCTGTCCTAAATGGTCCTTTAGCTTCAACATGTTTCCACGTAACCTGATTTAAAGTTTGTAGGAGCTTCTACATCTAAAACACTTTCAACGTTCGTAGTAACTTTTTCCTATGAGCCTTTAACTTCTTTGGCATCTGGTCAGGATGCCTCCTGGACGCCTCCCTGGGGAGGTGTTTTCGGGCATGTCCTGCCGGCAGGAGGCCCCCGGGTCACCCAGGACACGTTGGAGAGGTTACATCTCCAATCTGGTCCAGGAACACCTTGGGGTCCTGCCGGAGGAGCTGGTGGAGGTGGCCGGGGAGAGGACGGTCTGGAGCTCCCTAGTTGGGATGCTGCCCCCGCGACCCCGGACCCGGATAAGCGGCGGAGGAAGACGACAACGACGTGTTTCCACGGTAACCTGATTTAAAGTTTGTAGGAGCTTCTACATCTAAAACACTTTCAACATTCGTAGTAACTGTTTCCTATGAGCCTTTAACTTCTAGAACAAACTTGCAGAAGTAGAGCCACCCAGACCATTGAGGTCCATATCTTTTGGCCCGTTTCCACTATCGGAACTTCCAGGTATTTTTAACTCATTCGCTGCCAGACGTTTCCTTATCGCTAAAGCCCTACGCTGACAGCGTTTCTCACCGTTTTTACTGACAGAACATTGCGCGCTAGGATGATGTCGATGCCAAAGCAAGCAAATAAAGCAGAGACTCGCCTCTTACATCAGGAAGAATCTGCGTGTTTCGAGCGTTATCCGTTCTTTCATAATCCGTTGTTGAATTGTGATCGGCAGAAGCTTTTCCGGTTCACTCCTCACTTTTTTTTTTACAGGAACGGCCCAAAACGATCTCCTAACACACGGATGTTCTGCTTCCTGGTCACGTGACGTGTGACGTACGTGGATGAAGATCGGCTTCAGAGCTGAGATGTTTGTTCTCTCGGCGCGGGGGCTCGTCCGACGCCCACACAGTAAAAAAATGCAAATGACGACTTTAGCAGTGAACGAGTTAAGGTGTGGGCGTGTCTCCATCTGACCAGGCCGTTTAAGGGCCCGACCGAGTACTTAGAAATGTCCCAGTAGTCAATGGCCGGGACAGCTGGTTAACTGATGCTGATTAGTTGCAATTCAGTGGGGAATGATTTTGTCAGACATTCCCAAACAACCAGCAAATTCACCTTTTCTAAACTCCCAATTCTGAACATGTATTGGAAATCCCTCCACATGCACGGCCATTTTCTGACGTCTTAAAGCCGTGAAAGGGCCAACTTTGTATGGTGACACCACGCCTGAGAGGCGGAGCCAGCATATTTTTCCCCATCTCAGAAATTTCTCTGACTCCTCAACTGGAAACACGGCTTTTGTTAGCTGTGACCTCCCTTTGCAGTTCTCTGGTTGGCTGTTTCACGATGGGAAGATGATGGAGCAGCACTCCAGGCAGATCTCCAAGCATTCAGCCGAGCCACAGCAGTTTTCCGGTATTCCACAGTCCAACACGGCCTGACACACCTCCTCTGTGCAGGCCGCCTCTCCCACTGTGTCCACGCAGCAGCCAATCAGAGCGTCGCAGCAGCCGCCGCTACCGAGTCCGCACAGCAGACAATCCCCCACCGCTGAGCAGATGGACAGCAGCTCACAGAACAGGCAGGACAGCAGGCAGTGGACAAAGCAATCTGTAAAGACAAGTCAACTGTCAGGTGCGACTTAGGTCATCACGAGGCCTGCGACCCCGTTGCTAAGAGGCAACAAAGCTACCAGCTTCACCACCATGCAACCAATTGCTCTTCATGTTCTTCATGAATACGAATTCCCCGACGGAGGACCCTCTGTCTCTGCTGTTAGGTCTTTACCACAACACATCATCTGAGATGTGAACCATCCGGGAGACCATACAGCATCCTTCAGTGCTTCAGCCATGATCAAACACCTTCATTAACACCCAAAGCAGCTCTGATGTCACAGTTTGATCGGCTGACCTGATTGGTCAGAACCTGCTGAGACTGACAGTCCTGTAGGACCTGTAGGAAGCACTCGGAATGACAAGATAAGAGCAGTAAAACCATGAAGCTCAGTGGCTCACCATCTCCAGCCACTTTCTTAATGTGAGCAGCATCCATATTGAAGGAGGTGTGGCACTTGTTGGAAGAAACAGTCGTCTGATTGGTGTCCTGATGATGATGTTGGTTACAGAAGGAGGACTGAGATACAGGAGGAGCAGAAATGGAGGAGGAAGTTGGAGGAACACAACAAGGAGTATCAGGTGGCTCTGATGAAGTGTCCAAATCTTCAACACAACAGATGACATCACAGTATGACCAGAACACCTGATCTCACAGGTGATCCAACAACTTGAGGCGGAAGGAGTTACCTGTCTGGAGGGCTGGCAGAAGGTGAGCCCTTTCGTCGGTGGAGGACTCACTCAATGAAAGTTCCTCACTGCTGTTGGCCTCCTGCAGCCTATCAGAGGTAGGGGGTGGAGCTTGGCCTGTGAGAATAAATACACGTGCCAATACTAGTTCAAGCTGGTTGGTGATGAGTCATCATCAGAAGAGCTAATGTCAGGGAAAAAAGGGTTAATCAGAAATAAGATGAATTAGAGTAGAGAGGAGTAGAGTACAGTAGAACAGGATTATGAGTAGGGCTGCAGCTATCAAATATTTTTGTAATCGAGTACTCTATCGAATCTTTTATCGATTAATTGAGTACTCTAATAATTTACCCTTGTGTTTGTAAACCATTATATCAAATAGCATACAATCCTCTTCAGATAAATAACAAACCGTTTGACATCAAAGAAATTTCTCTTTGGTCTTGATGCTCATATATTAGTAAAGATTATAAATATAAACACATTTCAATTTTCCTGGTAGTGTTTAATCAAAGAGCAATGTGACAAAAACAATAAGTTACTTAGAAGTTAAATACGTACATAAAGATAACCTGCAGTTGAGCCTCTTGACTTTTCTGTTTGCTAAATCAAGCCAAATGACTCTTCTATTAGCTGATGGATCCGTTTTAAATGTAAACAAGTCAAAATAGTTTGTTCACTTAATGTTATTAAAGTTACAACTTATTCACTGATGAAAAAGTGGCATTTATTTACATTATGGAGCGCTGTCTGTCACCTATGATAGACTGGCTCTATGGTAAAGCTATGGAATATTGCGTTACCATAGTTACAGCTCAGGTGCATCATTTAAAATGCTTTATTATTAAGGCTAGAACCTTTCAGACTTCAGCATAAGCTCCATCTCGAGTGAGTGGGACCTTTTCTCTGCGGTCTCTGTGTTTGCCGACTTTAGTCTTCCAGAGAGCAGCTCTAGCAGGTAATACAACTACCCACAAACAACCCAGCCGTACATTTGACATGTTTAGACTTTCAGATTTATCTGAAGTGTTTCCTGTGCGTTACTGGAAGATGTTAACATCCCTCAAGGTAAACTGGTTTTATCATTTATATAAAATACACCTGCTGGAAAAAACAAAATAAACAACAACCCCTTAAGCAGGTCAGATTACAGATAAACAGTCAAGATAAAACTCATTTGAATCTGAAATATGAGTTATAAACGTACATTTCTATAACTAGAGTAGAGTAGGATAAAGAGTACAATAGAGTAGAGTACAGTAGTGAAGGATTAAGAGTAGAGTAGGAATAAAAGTATAGTACTGTAGAGTACAGTAGTTTAAGAGGTTGAGTAGAGTACGATAGAGTAGTACTAGTAGTAGTACAGTTAATAGCTTGTATTTTTAAACCACCTTAGGGTTCTACAACCCCCCAAGGTGCTTCACAACAACACAGTCATCCAACAATTCACACACTGGTGATGAGGTAGCCACAGCAGCGCTGGGACGCACTGACAGAGGCGAGACTGCCGAACACTTGCGCCACCGGTGCCTCCAACTGCCACCAGCTGGCAAGGAGGGGTTAAGTATCTTGCCCAAGGATGCAACAGCAGCATCTCTGGCAAGAGCTGGAATCAAACCTGCAACCTCGATTACTGGACAACCAGCTCTACCTCCTGAGCTACTGCTGCCCCACAGTACAGTAAAGTACAGTAGAGTATGAATGAGTAGAGTATGGACATGAGTAAAGTAGAGTAGAGTATGGATATGAGTAGAGTATGGACATGAGTAAAGTAGAGTATGGATATGAGTAGAGTATGGATATGAGTAAAGTAGAGTACAGTAGTAGAGTATGGATATGAGTAGAGTAGTAGAGTATGGATATGAGTAGAGTAGAGTAGTAGAGTATGGATATGAGTAAAGTAGAGTAGAGTAGTATGGATAAGAGTAGAGTAGAGTAGTAGAGGATGGATATGAGTAGCGTAGAGTATGGATATGAGTAAAGTAGAGTAGAGTAGTATGGATATGAGTAGAGTAGCGTAGAGTAGAGTAGAGTAGAGTAGTAGAGGATGGATATGAGTAGCGTAGAGTATGGATATGAGTAAAGTAGAGTAGAGTAGTATGGATATGAGTAGAGTAGAGTAGAGTAGAGTAGTAGAGGATGGATATGAGTAGCGTAGAGTATGGATATGAATAAAGTAGAGTAGAGTAGTATGGATAAGAGTAGAGTAGAGTAGAGTAGTAGAGGATGCATATGAGTAGCGTAGAGTATGGATATGAGTAAAGTAGAGTAGAGTAGTATGGATATGAGTAGAGTAGAGTAGAGTAGTAGAGGATGGATATGAGTAGCGTAGAGTATGGATATGAGTAGAGTAGAGTAGAGTAGAGTAGTAGAGGATGGATATGAGTAGCGTAGAGTATGGATATGAGTAAAGTAGAGTAGAGTAGAGTAGAGTAGAGTAGAGTAGAGTAGTAGAGGATGGATATGAGTAGCGTAGAGTATGGATATGAGTAAAGTAGAGTAGAGTAGAGTAGAGTAGTAGAGGATGGATATGAGTAGCGTAGAGTATGGATATGAATAAAGTAGAGTAGAGTAGAGTAGTAGAGGATGCATATGAGTAGCGTAGAGTATGGATATGAGTAAAGTAGAGTAGAGTAGAGTAGAGTAGAGTAGTAGAGGATGGATATGAGTAGCGTAGAGTATGGATATGAATAAAGTAGAGTAGAGTAGTATGGATATGAGTAGAGTAGCGTAGAGTAGAGTAGAGTAGAGTAGTAGAGGATGCATATGAGTAGCGTAGAGTAGAGTAGAGTAGAGTAGTAGAGGATGCATATGAGTAGCGTAGAGTATGGATATGAGTAAAGTAGAGTAGAGTAGAGTAGAGTAGAGTAGAGTAGTAGAGGATGGATATGAGTAGCGTAGAGTATGGATATGAATAAAGTAGAGTAGAGTAGAGTAGTAGAGGATGCATATGAGTAGCGTAGAGTATGGATATGAGTAAAGTAGAGTAGAGTAGTATGGATATGAGTAGAGTAGAGTAGAGTAGTAGAGTATGGATATGAGTAGCGTAGAGTATGGATATGAGTAAAGTACAGTAGTATGGATATGAGTAAAGTACAGTAGTATGGATATGAGTAAAGTACAGTAGTATGGATATGAGTAAAGTACAGTAGTATGGATATGAGTAGAGTAGAGTAGAGGGTTAACAACCTCACTGGTGAAGGCAGAGAGGTTGTTATCAAATGGAAACAGCTGCCTGCTTCAAACGTTCTATCCGTTAGACACACATCAGCTGTTGGATAGAGATAAGGGGTCCCTGCAGCGCCTCTGAGCCTCGGTAAGGAATCGGCTGGTGAAACGGTCTCACCACCTTCATGACGTCTCACTGAGACGGAGTGTCCATGAGAGCAGCCTGGGGAGGATGATCTGTTGTTCCTGTCCACAGCCCTTATCACCCCTGCCCCCCACAGAACGAGTTCTGCTCTGTCCCTTCCTGCAGCTCTGGTGGGAGCTCCAGTCCAGCCTGATGTTCAGATACACCTGAGACCTCTCATGAAGCTTAATCTGGAATTTGGACCTGTCCTACCTGTGTTGTGATGCAGGACCATCCCATTGTTTGATTGGTCACAGTCCTTGTTTGCCCCGCCCCTAGAGTTCTCAGAGGGGGATTTGACTTCCATCCTGTAGGGAATTAAAACAGAAGTGGATCTGTTTCACTTGTAGGAATAATGGAGTCCAGTTTTTATTTGACTTTTCACAATAAAATAATCCTTAACAAGCTTCTGGTTACAGAAATAACTGACGGCTGGAGGGTTGGATGATCCCCGAGCCTCATCGGCAGGAAAATAAAGGGCTGAGCTCATCTAGGAACAAAATCCAATCCTAACGCAGTCGTTTAAACTCATCCAGTAAATAAACTGTTTCATTATGAGTTTTATAAAGTTTAGTGTTTGGTCAACAGAAAAACCGCTGATCACAAACTTCCTGTTTAAATGAAAATGAAAGAAAAGTTTTAATACTTGCAGCTTCGGTCCGTTCAGTCGGCAGCTTTGGTGTGTGTGAAGCCCTCCGCCCACTACACACACACACACACACACACACACACACACACACACACACACACACACACACACACACACACACACACACACACACACACACACACACACACACACACACACACACACGGCTATGACATCATCAGATGACCTAAAGATTCCGAACATATCCTCAGAAGACAAACGAATCAGTTCATTCATTCATCCATTACAAGCTTTATTCATGCAGCTGTGTCTCAGCTGTAAATCAGTGACCTGCTCCAAAACTCCCCACTGATGCTGAATGATGATTAAAGGTCCAGAGAAACAAAACCGGACCGGTCCAGACCCTCCAAACCAGTTAGAACCGTATGTCAGCGGGATGTCCCAGAGTCTTCTGCACCCGCCGAGAGCGCCATCTGCTGACTTAGCCTACTTCTGGTCTCTGCCCTGGTCTGGAGCGCACTGGACTCTCGTTTTTAAGCTGACTTGTCTTTCCTGGTCAAATAAAATAAACTATAATAAAACCGGTTCGGAGGACCGGGTTCAGCCCGCTGCTGCGCGTGTCTCTTCCCAGCAGCAGAGGGCGCCTCCCGGTTCCGGGGTTCCGTCCTGTTTGGGGGGCTACAGAGGAAGAGGGGGATGAAGATGGAGCGAAAACAAAGAGGGAGCTGCTGCAAGACAAACTAACGGAACCCAGATCAGCAGAACCTCATGGTGAGTCCGCTCTCGGTTCCGGTCCGCTTTCATGTTGCACACGAACCACGACATCCCTTCAGGATGCATTTTTCCTGGACTGGATGTTGATGATCACCCATCCAGGTCTACGTTCATCCATACTCTGGTGCTGAACCCGAGTCGCGCTGCAGCAGGTCTGACCGGGACCCTGTCACGTGGTTCTTGATCCAGATGCAGGAGTGTCTAACCAATCAGAGGCTTTTATTAAAAATATTCCTTTAATCTTGTTTATTTGTCTTAGGAGGTGCGCAACCCAGAGGAGCAGGAGGAGGAGAGAGGAGAAGGGGGAGGAGGAGGAGGAGAGGTTACCATGGAAACCACCAGCTGTCCAGTTTACTGCATCTGTCGGAAACCAGACATCAACTGTTTCATGATGTGAGAAAAATTTTATTTACAAAACAAAAACATAAACAGCTGATGCTCACCACCGTGTGTGTGTGTGTGTGTGTGTGTGTGTGTGTGTGTGTGTGTGTGTGTGTGTGTGTGTGTGTGTGTGTGTGTGTGTGTGTGGGATAGAGGCTGTGACAGCTGCACCGAGTGGTACCATGGGAACTGTGTCGGAGTCTCGGAGAGAGCAGCCAAGGCCATCAGGGTGTGGTTCTGTCCGTCCTGCAGAGGTGAGTGTTTCAGAACCAAACCCATCCTGGAGCTGTTGGCAGTACCTGGACCAGGTACCAGCTTTGTGTTTTAACACCTGCAGACCGAGACCCAGCCCTGGAGATTAAATACCGCCAGAGGAAGAACAAACAGGGGGAGTCAGGAAAAGATGACAAAACTGATGGAGATGACAGCTCCACCCCTCAATCCAAACTCGACAGGAGGCGGGGCTCCCAGGTAATCAGTTCTCCTGGAGGAGGAGCTCTCAGGTAACCCTGTCTGATGGGGAGCAGAGCTCACTAGCTGTTAGCTGTGATCTGAGGAGCAGCAGGTGAGCCTGATCTTGATGATGTCGTTAAAGTGGGCGTGTCCAGATTAGTAAAGCGCATCATTGGACATACTAAAGCCCAAACTGTCCCAAAGTCCACCTCAAATGTCTCTCTGTTTATGTTGCATGTGTGTGTGTCTGCGTGTGTGTGTGTGTGTGCGTGGGCAGATAAAGCGCTCGGCCCGGATGTGTGGTGAGTGTGATGCCTGTCTCAGGACGGAGGACTGTGGTCAGTGTGACTTCTGTAAGGACATGAAGAAGTTTGGGGGTCCTAACAAGATCCGACAGAAGTGTCGCATGAGACAGTGCGAGGTCCGAGCTCGGGTACGTGTTCTCCTCCATCTTTGTTTTTGCCCTGGTTGCCTGCATCAGGGAGCTCTGCAGCACCTTTTGTTTTAGTGTTACAACAATCCTTAGAAGCTTCCAGACCGGTTGAATCCGGTCTGCACATTAGGGCCTGGTTCAACTTCACAGCAACAAGGTTGCAGGTTTGAATCCCAGCTGGTGTATCTATGTCGTTGACGTCCCTTAAACCTGGACCTAAGTGATTGTAAGCCCTCTGTTTGATCAACCAGTTGCAGACCACATCTCAGCCGTTGCCATGGTAACGGGACAGGACTAATGCATTACCAGTTGGACATTTCTTGTTACGCCTAACAGTGTGTGTCTCTGATTGTCTCTGAGCAGAAGATGCTCCGGGTCAGAGACGAGGAGATGAGTCAGGGCGACAGCAGGGGGCATGGTGTTTTAAGAAAGGGGGCGGGGCATCTGATGGATGAAGACGATGAAGAAGATCGGGAGGGGTTCAGCGAGAGCGAGCTGGAGTTGTATGAGCAGTACAAAGCTGCTGGTTTCAGTCACCTGGTGAGTGGTGGATCAATCAGACCTCAAGGGTCGACTTCCTGTTTGATCACATCTTCCTGTCACAGGTATGGCGCAGCGGGGAGGAAGAGGAGGAAGAGGAGGCTCAATCTGATTTGTTGAGGAAGAAAGCTGTGAAGGTGAAGCATGTGAAGAGACGAGACAAGAAGCCAGAGAAGAAGGTGAAGCCATGTAGATCACATGATCACCTACATCACTGATGATGTCACTAACGCACCTGTGCCCCTGCAGAAGTCTGTGTTTGCTCCGAAAGAGGAGATCAAGCTTCGGCGTCATAAGGTCAAACAGAGGCACCGGGAGCGTGTGCGACATAGTGAGCGAGCAGGAGAGGGTGGAGCTAAAGATGTGGGCGGGGCTGTGAGGCAGTGCCTGGGCCCTAGTTGCATCGAACCTGCGAGGAGCAACTCCAAGTACTGCTCTGAGGAATGTGGGATGAAGCTCGCCGCCAAGTGAGCCTGAGGTCTGCACTCATGCCGAGGCGAGCGAGTCACCTGGAATTCACATCTGTCTCTGTCCACAGCCGAATTTACGAGATCCTCCCCCAGAGGATCCAGCAGTGGCAGCAGAGTCCCTGCATTGCAGAGGAGATGGGGAGGAGACAGCTGGAGCGAATCAGGAAGGAGCAGCAGGCCGCTAGGCTCCGCCTCACGCTGATGGAGAAACGTTTCCATGATCTGGAGACCATCATTGCCAACGCCAAGCAGCAGCAGGTCCAACAACATGAGGAGGTACGACCCCCCCCCCCCCCCCCACACACACACACACATACATGCAGCCTCCCACTGATTGGTCCAGCTCTCATGTACCTTTGTTCTGTCTGCAGGTGGCCGAAGGAGATGGAGATGACACAGACCTGCAGATATTCTGTGTCTCCTGCAGCCATCCCGTCAACCCTAAGGTGGCGCTGCGTCACATGGAGAGGTGCTATGCTAAGGTGAGTTTATATATTTTTTACTAACCGCCAATAGAAAACAGACGGGGAACACTCAAGTCAGGAAAGCTCGTCAGATCTACGCCACACTGAAAGTAAATGTTCCTGGACTTGCTCATCTTGGCTCCCGACGCGGAAGGCTGTCGTTGGTTTAGCATCCAGGAAACAGCAGAGAGCGTCTCGGCTAGTAGAAGCTAACCGTTAGCTTTAGCAACAGAGCAGAACTCCTCCAGGCTTGTGTTATTTGTGGAGATAAAAGATCAGCATTGCAAAGCGGACAGTCAGTGGTAGAGTTGTGTTGCTGTTGGCCAATCAGAGGAGAGATGTCCGATAATTGAGCCCTAATACAACAAATCCTGCCACCTTCTGCTCACCTCTGCACCAGAGCTTTTTCCCACAGAGGTCGTCTCACAAGGCATTCATTTGTACCAGACCACCACAAACCTCCTGAAAAAAACAGAATGAACTTGGTCTTTAAAACCGGGCACACGCTGTGGATTCTATACAGCTCCATTTTTTAAATTTTAGACTTCATCGCAGAGAACGGCTGACGAATTGTGTTGACTCTGTACGGCTCGATGCTCAAATGCTACCTGACTGCTCACGCTGTGCATGCAAACGCGAAACCTGGAGCCTGGAAAAGAGGCGACTCCTTTAGCGCTTTCACATCTGGGCCGACTCGGTTCTGCTCAGGTAATGTTTTATGTGTTCACACCTGGGTAGCCTGGCTTTTTTCCCTGCTCAACTGCCCTTTTTTTCTGACCTCCTCCCTGGCGGACTGTTTCGGGCTGAGGTGACCCAACAGCCTCTGCCTGGCGGGTAGATTCAGCCAGCGAGGGCTTCCCGCGGTTCGTTATCATTCAGGATACTGTGGAGTAGGGGTTGTACGAACTAGTCGACTAGTCGACTTCACGGCTCTGTAGTGACCTTTTATGCCTGTCATCGACTAGTCGCTGTCACGTGATAATGACTGACAAGATGCAGTCCTCCAGCAGGTGATGAGCCCCTGCGTCGGGAGGTGGAGGCGACGCGCTGTGCCAGAGCGTCGGTACTGACACCGGCGGTAAAACTGACATTTAACCAAACTGTGACCTTTTCCCTCTTGTAATTTTACCTTCTCCTCACCCCCATCCTAATCTTAACCAGTTTGCGCATGCAAAGCTCTGATCGTTGACGTGCTGCTCCAGACATCTGCGTCCTGAGCACCTCCAAATCAGGTGTCGCCACCTCAAAAACAAATTAAACACGCGATCGTTCATGTCGGCTCATTTCCTTTCATGTTTTCTGTCTGTTATTTGTGCCTGATGCGTTTCGCTGCTGCGGAGCGAGGCTCTTCACCTGTTTTGTTCTCCGGTGACGCGCCCCCAAGATTCCACTATCTCCGCTCCGCTCCGCTCCGCTCCGGCACAAACTCCGCAGCAAAAACGGTCCCGTTGTAGTCGGCTGGCGAGCAGCGGCACTCCGCTGTTTCTGCGGTCGGTAGATCTTTTAGGACTGTGGTTCAAAGGTAACTTATAAGGTGAATATATATGAAGCCATGTAGCAGTTTCTCTTTAGGATTGAGAGGAGATGCAGGAAGATAAACAGATAGGACAGAAAAATAGTCAATTAAAAACAAGTTAGTTTTTGTACCTGCTGGTTGCAACAAACAGACACCATTGAAGGTAATCAGAAGTGAGGAACAGAAAATGAAATAATTATTTTAATGTCTAGAGCAGCAGGAACTCCGAGAGGCTGCAGGCGCATCAGTGAGTTTGCTGCTGCTGCGCAGGGGGAGGGGGGAGAGGGCTGAAGTAGGATGCAGAAACTACCGTTGTTAAAAGAGATTTTAGAACATGTGGGCGCAATCTTAATTGTCAAAAACTCCAGCGAACCTATCGACCCTCCCACCCCCCCGCCGCTTCAGGTGTATGACGTCATCAACGACTAGTCAAAGTCGACTCGATTTTCATTACTTGACTGTCGACTTTAAAAAAAATTAAGTCATGCAACCCCTACGGTGGAGTAAACATCTCCACTGACTGAAGCCGCTGCGGATCTGTCTCTCACTAAGATGTGCTGTGAGGAGCACACACACAGTTTCAGTGAGAGACAGATCTGTCGAAGCTTGAGCTGCGCAGCGTGAGGACAGACACAGCAGTCTGGATGCAACATCTGTTACCCCGGGTTTCCACAGGAGCCGTCAGCAGCACGTTACTGCAGCAGCACGTCTTGCTCGCGTAAGCTGCTGCTTGGCCCTCCCCATGAGACGCGAAGCAGCAGGGGAGCAGCTGTCACCGACCGAGCACGAAGTCACACGAGTAACTTCGTCAGTAAACACAACAACAAGCAGGAGAAAACTACAACATGGGTTGTGTTTTATGTTCTGTCCGTTTTATAATCGCCAATACGGACCTGAAAAACAAAGGAGACCGCTAGCTAGGTGATAACTTCTCACGGGGCCGCACAGTTAGTAACCTTTTTTAAAAGTAAAGCAACCGGAAGGCAGGACGTTCTTTATTCTGAAAATCTCGGGAGCTTCTCTCCATTTCCGCGTCCGATTTCCTGTCTTTCCTTCCCCAAAAATGTCGAACTTGACCCGTTTCAGAGGCGTCGCGCGTAGAAAATAGAACCGGCGCGTAAAGGCCGCGACATGCTGCTTCTGAGACGCAGCCGACTCGCGCTGCTGACGGCTCCAGTGGAAAAGGTTCTGTTGACCACAGCGGTTCCTATCAGCAGCTATGACGTGCTGCTGCAGTAACGTGCTGCTGACGGCTCCGGTGGAAAGCCGGGGTCAGTCTCCAAAAGCAACACTGCTCATAGCCGCCTCTGTTTACCTAAAGGAGACACCACAGACTTCTCTTTGTGTTTTTTTGCCCCGCCCACCTGCTCAAAGATTTCCGCTGCTGAGAAGTGTCTGTGAAGAAAATCTAGGGGTGGGGGCCCAGGCGCGACACCACCTAGCCCAGACCGGGCCAGGCTAGGTGTGATAGTGCCACCATTGGCTTGCCGTAATTGTAGGAGAACACAGCGTAAAGCTGGGTATCGATTCAAAATTTCAAGAATCTATTTGACTCCAATTCTGAACAGTTAGAATTGTTTATCGTGACCTGATCCCATCCAGTCTGTTCCAGTTTGATGCTGATATGGGCCAGTGTGGCTGTTACCTTCATTTGATGCCTGTAACTCAAAGATGCAACACTGGGTGAGCTCACCGGGGGAAACTCTATTAACCCTTTCAGACCTAGACCTTTAAATGGCCGTCTGGACTTTTCCTTGGCGATTACAAAGGTTTTTGGAATTACGAATCGAATTTTTATAAGAATGGATTTAGAGTCCGGTTGGAGGTAGAAGAAAAGTGAGTGACATGTAAGAAGTAAACCATGTTTGGGGATCTGTTTCTATTTGTTATGAACACAACAAACACTACGGAGACACTTCCAACCAAAACAAACAGCACAATGTTCCTGTACCAGGAAACTGGGTCATTGACTGTCGCGGCTTACCACACCTGAATAGTTCCAGAATATTGAAACGCAAAGTACCTCAGAGAGGACAGTCAGTCCCATCAGAGCAGATTCTTTTGCTCAGGATAGTCTGATGAATCTACCTTCTGGATCCATGTGCATTGTGGGTAATGTAGGCACTGTGACAAGAGCTGCAGGACAGGATGGGGATGAGGACTGTCCTCACCAACTCTTTTTGTCCCAACAGTATGAGAGTCAAACCTCCTTTGGGTCCATGTATCCAACCCGCATTGAGGGGTAAGTCAACCTCCATCCCCTGTGTCCCGGTTGTCTGTATTGTCCCTCCTGCCTCTAATAACTGTTTGTGGGAACCTTGTCCTGCCCTAGAGCCACCCGGTTGTTCTGTGACGTCTACAACCCTCAGAGTAAGACATACTGTAAGCGGCTGCAGGTCTTGTGTCCAGAACATTCCAGAGATCCAAAGGTACGTTTTATTTTACCTGACTTGATACCCTCAATGTCTGTCACAATGAGTGTTGGTTTTGGACCCATATGCAGTGAGTGAAGCTCTGAGGCAGCAAAATACTTAGATCCATTTATTGCAGGGACTTGGGAGTGCAGAAACAACAGGAACAGAAGCACGTTGACATGGGGAGACATAAGATAAGGACAACAGATGAACCGACAAAAGACACAGGACTGACAGGGCTTAAATACACAGGAGCAGGTGATCAGGTTAACAAGAAGCAGGTGCAACCAATAAACACACGGGGAGACGAGAGGCAACCAAGGCTGAGAAGCAGAACGTGACATTGGCCTTTTTCGAGATGAGCCAGTTCTGCACAGATTAGATCACCGGTGATCGGCACGCAGTGCTTGCCGGTTAGATTTGTGTCCGACTTGACGCCGACTTGATCTGACGTCATGCCTACGTAGGCAACGACAACCTCGTGAGATCAAGGCGGCCGCAGATTTTGCAGCAAGGCGCTGCAGTTGCTCTCCACTGGCTGCAAAACCTAGGGCATGATGGGAAACGCCTGGCTCTCACCTGATCTAAGATCTGAGTGGTTCACATTTTGATCCAAACATCCGGTGGTAGAATGCAAAATGTTAGTTGGTCACGTGTATTCTGTAAATCATGTAACGTTGATGATGACAACTATATAGGCCATAAAGAGGAATGTGATTTGTGTTTTTTGTCACGTTTCCTATGAGCACACTAAACCTACAGTTGATAACCTTTACTTATTATTACAGTCAGGTCTCCATAAAATAAAATCGTCTTTAATCAGATAAAATAATCTTTAAAAAGAAAAAATCTTATTTAATCAGGTAACATAATCTTTAATCAGATAAAATTGTCTTTAATCAGGTAAAATAATCTTTAATCTGATAAAATCGTCTTTAATCAGGTAAAATAATCTTTAATCAGATAAAATCATCTTTAATCAGGTAAAATAATCTTTAATCAGATAAAATCGTCTTTAATCAGGTAAAATAATCTTTAATCAGTTAAAATCGTCTTTATTCAAATAAAATAATCTTTAATCAGGTAAAATAGTCTTTAATCAGATAAAATAATCTTTAATCAGATAAAATCGTCTTTAATCAGGTAAAATCATCTTTAATCAGGTAAAATAATCTTTAATCAGATAAAATCGTCTTTAATCAGATAAAATAATCTTTATTCAGATGAAATTGTCTTTAATCAGGTAAAATAATCTTTAATCAGATAAAATCATCTTCACTCTGATAAAATAATCTTTAATCAGGTAAAATCGTCTTTAATCAGATAAATTAATCTTTAATCAGGTAAAATAATCTTTAATCAGATAAAATCATCTTTAATCAGATAAAATAATCTTTAATCAGATAAAATCGTCTTTAATCAGATAAAATCATCTTTAATCAGATAAAATTATCTTTAATCAGGTAAAATAATCTTTAATCAAATAAAATTGTCTTTAATCAGATAAAATCGTCTTTAACCAGGTAAAATTATCTTTAATCAGGTAAAATCGTCTTTAATCAGATAAAATAATCTTTAATCAAGTCAAATATAATCATCTTTAATCAGATAAAATGATCTTTAATCAGATAAAATTATATTTAATCAGGTAAAATTGTCTTTAATCAGATAAAATCGTCTTTAATCAGATAAATTATTTTTAATCCGGTAAAATCGTCTTTAATCGGGTAAAATCGTCTTTAATCAGATAAAATCGTCTTTAATTAGATAAGATTATCTTTAATCAGATACAATCGTCTTTAATCACATAAAATTATCTTTAATCAGGTAAAATTTTCTTTAATCAGATAAAATCGTCTTTAATCAGATAAAATCGTCTTTAATCAGATAAAATTATCTTTAATCAGGTAAAATTTTTCTTTAATCAGATAAAATTGTCTTTAATCAGATAAAATCGTCTTTAATCAGATAAAATATTCTTTAATCAGATAAAAGCATCTTTAATCAGATAAAATTGTCTTTAATCAGGTAAAATAATCTTTAATCAGGTCAAATAATCTTTAATCAGTTAAAATCGTTTTTAATCAGATAAAATAATCTTTATTCAGATGAAATTGTCTTTAATCAGGTAAAATAATCTTTAATCAGATAAAATCGTCTTCAATCTGATAAAATAATCTTTAATCAGGTAAAATCGTCTTTAATCAGATAAAATAATCTTTAATCAGGTAAAATAATCTTTAATCAGATAAAATCGTCTTTAATCAGATAAAATAATCTTTAATCAGATAAAATTGTCTTTAATCAGATAAAATCATCTTTAATCAGATAAAATTATCTTTAATCAGGTAAAATAATCTTTAATCAAATAAAATTCTCTTTAATCAGATAAAATCGTCTTTAACCAGGTAAAATTATCTTTAATCAGGTAAAATCATCTTTAATCAGATAAAATAATCTTTAATCAAGTCAAATATAATCATCTTTAATCAGATAAAATGATCTTTAATCAGATAAAATTATATTTAATCAGGTAAAATTGTCTTTAATCAGATAAAATCGTCTTTAATCAGATAAATTATTTTTAATCAGGTAAAATCGTCTTTAATCGGGTAAAATCGTCTTTAATCAGATAAAATTATCTTTAATCAGGTAAAATTTTCTTTAATCAGATAAAATCGTCTTTAATCACATAAAATTATCTTTAATCAGGTAAATTTTTCTTTAATCAGATAAAATCGTCTTTAATCAGATAAAATCGTCTTTAATCAGATAAAATTATCTTTAATCAGGTAAAAATTTTCTTTAATCAGGTAAAATAATCTTTAATCAGATAAAATCGTCTTCAATCTGATAAAATAATCTTTAATCAGATAAAATCATCTTCAATCAGATAAAATGATCTTTAATCAGGTAAAATAATTTTAATCAAATAAAATTGTCTTTAATCAGATAAAATCGTCTTTAACCAGGTAAAATTATCTTTAATCAGGTAAAATCGTCTTTAATCAGATAAAATAATCTTTAATCAAGTCAAATAAATCATCTTTAATCAGATAAAATGATCTTTAATAAGATAAAATTATATTCAATCAGGTAAAATCGTCTTTAATCGGGTAAAATCATCTTTAATCAGATAAAATTGTCTTCAATCTGATAAAATAATCTTTAATCAGTTAAAATCGTCTTTAATCAGATAAAATAATCTTTAATCAGGTAAAATAATCTTTAATCAGATAAAATCATCTTTAATCAGATAAAATAATCTTTAATCAGATAAAATCGTCTTTAATCAGATAAAATAATCTTTAATCAGGTAAAATAATCTTTAATCAGATAAAATCGTCTTTAATCAGATAAAATAATCTTTAATCAGATAAAATTGTCTTTAATCAGATAAAATCGTCTTTAATCAGATAAAATTATCTTTAATCAGGTAAAATAATCTTTAATCAAATAAAATTGTCTTTAATCAGATAAAATCGTCTTTAACCAGGTAAAATTATCTTTAATCAGGTAAAATCATCTTTAATCAGATAAAATAATCTTTAATCAAGTCAAATATCATCATCTTTAATTAGATAAAATGATCTTTAATCAGATAAAATTATATTTAATCAGGTAAAATTGTCTTTAATCAGATAAAATCGTCTTTAATCAGATAAATTATTTTTAATCAGGTAAAATCGTCTTTAATCGGGTAAAATCGTCTTTAATCAGATAAAATCGTCTTTAATTAGATAAAATTATCTTTAATCAGATAAAATCGTCTATAATCACATAAAATTATCTTTAATCAGGTAAAATTTTCTTTAATCAGATAAAATCGTCTTTAATCAGATAAAATCGTCTTTAATCAGATACAATTATCTTTAATCAGGTAAAAATGTTCTTTAATCAGGTAAAATAATCTTTAATCTGATAAAATCGTCTTCAATCTGATAAAATAATCTTTAATCAGGTAAAATAATCTTTAATCAGATAAAATAATCTTTAATCAGATAAAATCGTCTTTAATCAGATAAAATCATCATTAATCAGATAAAATTATTTTTAATCAAATAAAATTGTGTTTAATCAGATAAAATCGTCTTTAACCAGGTAAAATTATCTTTAATCAGGTAAAATCGTCTTTAATCAGATAAAATAATCTTTAATCAAGTCAAATATAATAATCTTTAACCAGATAAAATGATCTTTAATCAGATAAAATTATATTCAATCAGGTAAAATTGTCTTTAATCAGATAAAATCGTCTTTAATCAGATAAATTATTTTTAATCAGGTAAAATCGTCTTTAATCGGGTAAAATCGTCTTTAATCAGATAAAATCGTCTTTAATTATATAAAATTATCTTTAATCAGATAAAATCGTCTTTAATCACATAAAATTATCTTTAATCAGGTAAAATGTTCTTTAATCAGATAAAATCGTCTTTAATCAGATAAAATCGTCTTTAATCAGATAAAATTATCTTTAATTAGGTAAAAATTTTCTTTATTCAGGTAAAATAATCTTTAATCAGATAAAATCGTCTTCAATCTGATAAAACAATCTATAATCAGGTAAAATCGTCTTTAATCAGATAAAATAATCTTTAATCAGGTAAAATAATCTTTAATCAGATAAAATCATCTTTAATCAGATAAAATAATCTTTAATTCAATTCAATTGAGTTCAAAAATACTTTATTAATCCCAGAGGGAAATTGATTAAATCAATCAAATAAAATTGTCTTTAATCAGATAAAATCGTCTTTAACCAGGAAAAATTATCTTTAATCAGGTAAAATCGTCTTTAATCAGATAAAATAATCTTTAATCAAGTCAAATATAATCATCTTTAATCAGATAAAATGATCTTTAATAAGATAAAATTATATTTAATCAGGTAAAATTGTCTTTAATCAGATAAAATCGTCTTTAATCAGATAAATTATTTTTAATCAGGTAAAATCGTTTTTAATCGGGTAAAATCGTCTTTAATCAGATAAAATCGTCTTTAATTAGATAAAATTATCTTTAATCAGATAAAATCGTCTTTAATCACATAAAATCTTCTTTAATCAGGTAAAATAATCTTTAATCAGATAAAATCATCTTTAATCAGATAAAATTGTCTTTAATCAGGTAAAATAATCTTTAATCAGGTCAAATAATCTTTAATCAGTTAAAATCGTCTTTAATCAGATAAAATTATCTTTAATCAGATAAAATTATATTTAATCAGGTAAAATTGTCTTTATTCAGATAAAATTGTCTTTAATCAGATAAAATTATTTTTAATCAGGTAAAATCGTCTTTAATCTGGTAAAATCGTTTTTAATCAGGTAAAATAATCTTTAATCAGGTTAAATCCAAACTAGCACTCACTAGTGAGTCTTTTCTGTTCCCTGACCTGTTAGCATGAACAGACAGTCTCAGTGGTCCAGTGTTAAAGATATAAAATATCCTGAATAATCCCAACCAATGTGATGTGAGTGGAACCAACTGGTTCTAAAGTCAACATGGCATCATCACAAGAGGGAGGGTTCCGCCCCTCCATCTGATCAGTTCTACCAGGTCTGACTTGGACTCAAGTTTAGTTTCTATTTTTATTCTAAATGAATCATTAAACGTGTGTGTGTGTGTGTTTGGGTGTGTGTCAGGTCCCAGCAGACGAGGTGTGTGGCTGTCCTCTGGTCAGAGACGTGTTCGAGCTGACCGGAGACTTCTGTCGGGTCTCCAAGAGGAAGTGTAACAAACATTACTGCTGGGAGAAGCTTCGGCGTGCCGAGGTGGACCTGGAGCGAGTTCGTGTGGTAATCGGTTCTGATCCATTCTAGTGACAGCCTGACTGCTCTTGCCTCTCCCTGACTCTCTCTCTCTCTCTCTCTCTCTCTCTCTCTCTCTCTCTCTCTCTCTCTCTCTCTCTCTCTCTCCTCTCAGTGGTATAAGCTGGATGAGCTGTTTGAGCAGGAGAGAAATCTTCGGGCGGCGATGACAAACCGAGCTGGGCTGCTGGCTCTGATGCTGCACCAGACCATCCAGCATGACCCAATCACCACCGATCTGCGCTCCTCCAAGGACAGGTAGTTCGGTGGACACAGAAGGACACTTTGTTGGACCTTGTCTCTGAGCCACCAGTTATGTCAGTCCTGCATTTCATTTCCTGACGAAACCCCGGAACATCTGGACCAGAATCTAGTGGGTTTTTTCCGTTCTGATGACACCGCTGAACTTCTGTGTTTTTATCTCTGGACCTGCTTCAAACAGAACCTGGTGCCATCCACCTGCTCCCCAGCTGACTGCCAATCAGAGACGTGGATCCTGACTCCTCCTAGAGGCAGAGGCGCATCGGACTCATGAGCGGATTAGAGCTTGTTGATGGAATGTTTTAGAAAATGAAAGACTTGACTTATTATGGGATAAACGTGACGCGTAGAGACAGAAAATTAAACCTTAAAGCATGTGATGTTGCTCCACCTCCACCACTAGGTGGCAGTGTTTCACTCACTTTTCATTCCAAACTGCAGGATTGTTTTCCTCACTCACTGAAAAACTTCAAGGAATTATTTGTCTTCAGTTTCTAAATGTGGGGAAATGTAGTAATGAATTAATATTAGAGATAAAGAAGATCTGGTCCCTCTGGTCAGAGACAACTTAGATGTTTTCACTGGACGTTTGAGACATTTTTCTAAATTGATTTTACGTGCTGAGATTTTTTAAACAGGAACCAAAGTTTTGATCTTTTGCTGCAGGTTTTGGTTCGTTGGTGTCTCTGATCATCCAGAACATTCTGTGGCTGCTCCGCAACTGTTCTGGTTCACTTTACAAGGACTACACTACTCACAATCCTCAGCCTGATAAATAAGGGCTGTTCTTGTTGCCATGGAGACACGCACTACTTGATGAAACTCTGGACCAGAGAAGACACCTCATGTCACCATGGAAACCAAAATAAGGGAGGAGAAACTGGATTCCCTGAATAAAATAGCTAAAGCTCATTGTTAATTGTTTTTATTCAATAATCTATAAAATAATGATCAATGATGTTCTCTCCCAGGTGAGATGCTTCTGATGTCTCTGGTTCAGTAGGGTTTGTCATGAGGAAAGTGACATCTGTTGTCCAATTAGTCAAAGTGAAGAGGTTATTGATGTTCTGACTCCAGTTCACATGGAAGCTCCCCAAGACAACCTGAATAGATTTCTTGATATCCTCTCAAGGTTCTCTCCCTGCTGGTGGATTGCCTTTTCCTTCCACTCAGCTTTCCACGAACGCGGTTGGATGCAGCATTCTGGGAACAAGGAGCTTCCCCAACTCTACTGATGCAGATTAGAGTTCAGGTTCTCAGTCCTGGTGCTGGAGGGCCAGTAATAAGCATGGTAGAATTGTTTCCCTGCTTCTATAGTTATATAAATGAAAGAATAATATACATTTTATATAATTCTAATTAACATTTAAATTTATGTCAAAATGTTTATTATATTCATTTAATTTTAGTTATACTATTAGATCCATTATATAACCAATATTTTTTGTTAAATTTGATTTTAATAAATGTACAATTTAAATAATTTTTATTTTATATTCATAAATGATAACAGGAGTCCTATGCCCCCCACCCCCACCCGAATCTATGAATTTTGTGATTATTAAAATTCTAATAAAGTTTAGAAACGAGGATCTACCTATTCAAATTAATATTTTAATAAAAAGGTAATAAAAAAATCCAAATATATCTAAATAAAAATGAAAATGCAGGCGCGTTATCGTGACGTCACTTAAGCGCGACAACATCGCCTTCCTGTTGGCGCTGAACAAAAACAAAACCACAAAATGAATAAATAAACATCAAAGAAAATTTTATAACGCAACGAGAAAAGCTGGCGGTCTGGTCCTGGTTCGGTGACGAACAGACACACGGAACCGGAAACCCACGGTGAGAATCTCAACAGCAGTTCAGGTAGCTTACGTTAGCTTCCCTGCGGCTCCGGGTCCGGTTTGTGTTGGTCGGGTTGACCGTCTGCTCTAATTAGTGGTCACGTGATAGGTCAATAGAAAAACATAACTGGAAGAGACTAAGAACGGAACCAAACCAATGACAAATAATAAAAACGTGTTTTTGTTTCAGGTGTGAATGAGTTCTGGTTCTGGTCGGTGATGCAGGCTGGATCAGAACCTCCAGGACCTGGACTCAAGTCCGCCAGAAGGTCGCCTCGTCTATCTTCACAGGTCTGTCTCTGAACACACAGGTGTGTGTGTGTGTGTGTGTGTGTGTGTGTGTGTGTGTGTGTGTGTGTGTGTGTGTGTGTGTGTGTGTGTGTGTGTGTGTGTGTGTGTGTGTGTGTGTGTGTGTGTGTGTGTGAGAGAGAGAGAGCTACAGTTGCCAGAACTTTCTACCTGAACGTCAGTACCGGTTTATTATCAGCTCCTGAGAAAGTACCAGTTTTTAAATGGAACCCCCAGGTGTGGCCCTCACATACAGGTGCTGGCCAGTAAATTAGAATATCATCAAAAGGTTGAAAATATTTCAGTAATTCCATTCAAAACGTGAAACTTGTACATTATATTCATGCAATGCACACAGACCAATGTATTTCCAATGTTCATTACATTTAAATTTGATATTTATAGGTGACAACCAATGAAAACATCAAATCTGGTATCTCAGAAAATTAGAATATTCTAAAGGCCAATGAAAAAATGTTTGTTTCTCTAATGTTGGCCAACTGAAAAGAATGAACATGAAAAGAATGTGCATGTATAGCACTCAATACTTAGTCGGGGCTCCTTTTGCCTCAATAACTGCAGTAATGCGGCGTGGCATGGACTCGATCAGTCTGTGGCACTGCTCAGGTGTTATGAGAGCCCAGGTTGCTCTGATAGTCGTCTTCAGCTCCTCTGCATTGTTGGGTCTAGCGTATTGCATCCTCCGCTTCACAATACCCCATAGATTTTCTATGGGGTTAAGGTCAGGCGAGTTTGCTGGCCAATCAAGGACAGGGATACCATGGTCCTTGAACCAGGTGCTGGTGGTTTTGGCACTGTGTGCAGGTGCCAAGTCCTGTTGAAAGGTGAAGTCTGCATCCCCATAAAGTTGGTCAGCAGCAGGAAGCATGAAGTGCTCTAAAACTTCCTGGTAGACGGCTGCATTGACCCTGGACCTCAGGAAACAGAGTGGGCCAACACCGGCAGATGACATGGCACCCCACACCATCACTGACGGTGGAAACTTTACACTGGACCTCATGCAACGTGGATTCTGTGCTTCTCCGCTCTTCCTCCAGACTCTGGGTCCTTGATTTCCAAAGGAAATGCAGAACTTGCTTTCATCAGAAAACATAACTTTGGACCACTCAGCATCAGTCCAGTCCTTTTTGTCCTTGGCCCAGGCGAGACGCTTCTTGCGCTGTTTCTTGTTCAAGAGTGGCTTGACACACGGAATGCGACACCTGAATCCCATGTCTTTCATGAGTCTCCTCGTGGTGGTTCTTGAAGCGCTGACTCCAGCTGCAGTCCACTCTTTGTGGATCTCCCCCACATTTTTGAATGGGTTTGTCGTCACAATTCTCTGCAGGGTGCGGTTATCCCTAGAGCTTGTACACTTTTTTCTACCACATTTTTTCCGTCCCTTCGCCTGTCTGTTAATGTGCTTGGACACAGAGCTCTGCGAACAGCCAGCTTCTTTAGCAATCACCTTTTGTGTCTTGCCCTCCTTGTGCAAGGTGTCAATGATTGTCTTTTGGACAGCTGTTAAGTCAGAAGTCTTCCCCATGATTGTGGTGCCTTCAAAACAAGACTGAGGGACCTTTTAAAGGCCTTTGCAGGTGTTTTGAGTAAATCAGCTGATTAGAGTGGCAGCAGGTGTCTTCTATATTCAGCCTTTTCAGAATATTCTAATTTTTTGAGATACCAAATTTGGAGTTTTCATTAGTTGTCACTTATGAATATCAAATTTAAATGTAATGAACATTGGAAATACATTGGTCTGTGTGCATTGCATGAATATAATGTACAAGTTTCACGTTTTGAATGGAATTACTGAAATATTTTCAACCTTTTGATGATATTCTAATTTACTGGCCAGCACCTGTAGACAGGGGGAAAACATCTGGTTGGTTATGGACCTAATCAGTCACTGATGATGCACTCACTGTTCACACACTTTACCTGAGGACAGGTAGGGATTCCTCCACAGGTTCTTAGCTTATCTGGGGCCTCATTTATCAAGCTTGCTTACGCACAAAACGGGGTCGGAAAACTGCGTAAGCAACTTTTCACGCAAACTTTGGGATTTATGAAAGAAAACTTAGCGGAAAAATGTGCGCAACTTAAAGTTGACTAAGGACCTGGCTTACGCACATGTTGGACATGGAGAGCACCTGCAGTGCTGCTGCTGAGAAGGATACAATTATGAAATCCTGCAGCATTATCACTTGTACCGCTTCGTGTGCACACAGAACAAGACACCCCCCCCCCCCCCCCACACACACACACACACACACACACACAGCCTGAAGTGCAGAATACGGAATGCTGAATATCAGCAGGGGGACAGATTGAGACAGAATGTTATGCATCTGTGACAGTATGAGCATGCACCCTGGCTAGTTAGCCAAGGGTGATGTCCGTTTGGCTGACTGGTTAGCGTGCGTGACTCTCACCCGGGAGTCTGGGAATCTAATCCTGATCGGACCATTATTTTACATCCACCACAGATCTCTGAAGAACTCAGCATCGACGGCTTCAGCAACGCTCTGCCACTCCGTGGATTTTCTCTTATTTGTTTTGCAAAAGCACTTCCTTTCATTTCTCCACCTCACCCACAGGTACCTCAACTTCTGCTTGTGAAATTGCGTTTCCTTGATCTGCAGTCGGGATCGAAATGCTGCAACAAGCCGGCTTATGTATATGCATGAGATCCACAAGGCACTTTGCATTGACCATTTATGGCAGTAAGTGGGCGTGGTGAGGGCGGGATGTGGCTAAAAAGTAGCTGAGAAACATTCTCGAAGCGGAGATTGTGTGCAGCTGTGCGTACTCCATGTTTGATAGATCACAAACCTGCTTGGCGTAAGTACTTTTTTTTTTTTTTTTGCTGAGCTTAAGTACGTTTTAGTAAGGATTCTATGCAGTGTTTGATAAATGAGGCCACTGGTCCTTGTTATTGTCTATAGTAGGGATGCACCGATCAGGTTTTTTGTTGCCGATCACCGATACCGATATCAAAGAATGCTGATCACCGATACCAATCACCGATACCGATCACGTGGATTGGACAGAAATTTTCTACAACATTATAATGAGTGCTACAAACTACATAATCTGGGAATAAAGGAAATGCAACCTAATCTAAAATGGTCTGTATTAAGGTTGTCACGTTGTGAAAATTTAACCTCACGGTTATTGTGACCAAAATTACCACGGTTTTCGGTATTATCGCGGAACTTTTTTAAACGTGTTACATTTTCAGACAACTAAATAAACCCTGTATGTCAGGAAAATATTGTCATCAGTTTGTGTCTAAATTTTGCCTAAAATGTGTTATTTTGTAATTATGTTGTTTATTTGTTTACATTTTTTCCCTTTAGTCTTTAAAATACCAATATTTGCCCATAACTCCTTATTTTATGTCTGTTTGATGTCATCATTTAAAAAATATCAGATCAGATGATACTCAGTACTCAAGTAGCCTTCTAATCAGATACTTTTTTACCCTTACTTGAGTAATAAACCCTATATCAGGAAAATATTGTCCTCGGTTTGTGTCCTTCCAGTGAGCTTTGCAGATGTGGGAAAATGTCATCAGGCAGTAATCGTTGTTAAATTCATAATTATTCTCGGAGAGAGACCAACTCTTATCTGCCCCTGGGAGCCCCGTAATGCATAGCGTCATTTCAACATGGCGGTGTCCGCGACACGGTTTATATGCAGGTAGCGGCGCTGCGGCTGCTTTATATAGCGACTCGTTGCATTCTCCCTCAACCCAAATCCTCGGATCACGCATTTTAGCTAAAACGCTAACGTTAGCTTGCCTTGCGTTGACTGTAGAGTTGTGGGTGATGGTCACGCAGATGTGTCATGAGATTTGAAGCGTTGCTGCCTTTCACAGACACTTTTTCTGCACGTGCTGCAAACAGGATAGCCGTCTTCTATCAGCTGTCCCTCGGCATTCTTCAGATATCCAAAAGATGCCCGTACTTCCCACTTTGTCTTCTTTGAGGGATAATAAATGTCCTCCTGAGCGCTGCCGTCTCCTCCTTTGGTCATTATTTCAGCTTTAGCTTCAAGAAAGTTTTGGTTGTAAACAGCAAAGCAGGCATGTGCCGCCGGTCCTGCAACTTCAGCAGATGATACATTGGCTGGTAAGGGTCACCGCGCCCACACCGCAGCCACGGTAAACCCACCAAGATAATATAGTTTTTTTTTAAAACAAGACAGTTATTATTATTGTCAACTTTTTTTTTACCGGGGTTTACGGCTACACTGGTTACCGTGACAACCCTACCTGATCGGTCTGCTTTGATCTATTTTGAAAACTCCGATCAAAACCGATAGGGGCGCTATCGGCCGATTACGATCAAATGCCAATCCATCGGTGCATCCCTAGTCTATAGGAAGCTTCTTTCTTGTCTGGATCGTCTCCAGCTAATGGACCTTTTCTGGTTTTTCACTTCCAGGGGAGAAAGACTCTGTACCTGATGCACTCTCAAAAGTGACCTTTATTCAGTAGGTTGGTTTAAATTGGTGTGTACAGATGTAACTAGGGATGCAACGATACCACTTTTTTCCAAACTGATACGATACCGATACTTAGATCTGAGTACTCGCCGATACCGATTACCAACAGCGATACTTCCACCACACAAAAAAATGCAATGATTTGGAATACAGAATCAGATTTTATTTTCTTCTCTGCTTTCAACAGGAAAAGACTGTGAGGTAGATAAAAAGTAAAATATATGAATGTAAATCATCACAAAACTAAAATATTAGGTGAACAGAAATGACAAGTTACAGTGAAGCCATTTTCAAGCAACTGCATTGGTATCGGTTCCTGATATTGGTTAACTTTTACCGATACTGCTATTGGTATCTGTATCGACACCGATACCAGTATCGAATCAGTGCATCCCTAGCTACCACATCAAGCGCCATGGTGCATGCTGAATCAAATTGTATAACAAGCTCTTCTGTGGTCCAGGATCTGTAGTCATGCTCCACACCCCCCA